AAAACTGATTCTCCCTCCTTCAGTTCATTATCCATTGATCACCTGTAGCTTTTCTTCTTGAAGTGGGACCCCATGAACCCCCAGCCCCCCACCTGGGCATGTCAGCTGATTCTGTCATTATGCAGACTTTGTTAGGCTGCCAAGCTGTGGAGATTTCATTGATGCAACTTTCCCGTCATGTCTAGAATGCATTAACTAGCAGCAGGTGTCTTGTTCCGCTGGCTCCTATAATCTTTCTGTTCCCCTTCCAGGATATTTCCTGAGCCTTAGGTGTCGAGGCTGCATCGTAGATGTGTCACTTAGGGCTGGGCACCTCACAGTCACTTTTTCTCTGCATTTGACCAGTTGTAGAACTCTGTAATCATCTCCATCAGTTGTATGAAGAAGCTTCTTTGATGAGGGGTGAGAGGTACACTTGTCTGAGAACATTTTAAACCATGTTATAAGAAAATTTTAACCTTACCAGAAGCTTGCAAAGCAGAGGAAGAAGTTCTCAGGCAGGACAGTCAGAGGATTTATGTGTGAGTTCTCAAGGCGGCAGTGACCTTGGTCTTTTATCCTGTCTGGAAACCCAGCTACATTTAGCTCTAGGAGTTACTTGGTACTTTGGGTCCATAGGCCTTTCTCTGCTCCATTAACCATGAACAGTTTTGCCAAGTAGCTTGTTGTGTTGTGGTCATCTTGTTTTTTATAATATTTATTTTTATTTTATGAATATTGTCTATATGTATGTAAGTGTACCAGTGTTGTGCAGTGCCCTCAGAGGTCAAAAGAGGGCGTCAGATCCCTTGGAAATGGAGTTGCAAATGGGTTGTTAGCCACCCTGTGGGTGCTGGAAATTGAACCCAGGTCCTCTGCAAGAGCAGCCAGTGCTCCTAATCACTGAGCCATCTCTCTAGTCCTAGTAATCGTTTTGTAATTATTTGTTGGTTTGAGACAGGATCTCATGTAGCAGAGGGTGGTCTCAAACTTCTATGTAGCCGAGGAAGGACATCCTTGACCTCTGGTCCTCCTGCCTCCAACTCCTGAGTGCTGGGTCTACAGGCATGCACTACCATGTCCATATGTACAGTGCTGGGGATGGAACCCATGCCAGGCATGTACTCTACACACTGAGTACAGCCCCAGTCATATTCTGCTTTTAATGTCAAACGTTCTTGGTATTTCTTTCTCAAGTTTTAGAAGGTATAATTGGGGTATGGCAGGTTTTTAAAAACACTTGTCTCTTTTTACAATCGACTAGATTCTATGCAATTTGTAACTTACTGAAGACAAAAAGATGCCTTGAAGACATGTGAGGACCATGGTGACTGTATGAGGTTCTCTGTAGTGCTTTGGGACAGTGACTCCTGGAACAGCAGATGGTGGCACCCCCACACACACACACACTGGAAAATGTAGTGCCTGTTGTTACAGGTCTGTGGGTGGGCCTGGGACTGGAGGCTTCAGGTGTCTCCATATGAGTTCCCGGAATGTAATGCTCCAGAGGAGGAGTGGAGAAGTTGTGACCTCACCCTTCTTTTCCTTGATGTTTACTAAGCCTCCAGCTAGAAACAGTCCCTGGGTGCTGTATATTAGTTTTCTGCTGCTGTGATGAGACAGTATGACCTAAAGCAATTCATGGCTGAGTTCGTTTGGGATTATGGTTCCAGAGGTGGGAGTCCATGGTGACAGGAAGGCAGGGTTGGCAGTAGCAGGAAGCTGAGAGATCACATCTTCAATTGCAAACACAAAGTTGGGGGTGGGGGTGGGGGGGCTGAAGTGAGACTGATATCTCAGCACCCATCCCTAGTGACACTTCCTGTAACAAGGCACCTCCTGAAGATTCCACAACCTCCCAAACAGCACCACCAAGTGGGGACCAGATGTCCAAATATTAAAGTCCATGGGGGACATTTCTCTTTCAAACCACCACATGATGCCACCTGCTCCAGGGCTCCGTAACCCAAGAAATTAATAGCTTTATTCCTTTGGTTTGAATCTCTTGTTTGTCATGTCAATCAAGCCTTAATTTTTAAATCCCAGGGGACAGGTCATGGCTTTGAAATCAGGCCAACGTTTCTTCCTATCAATTCTTTCCAGTGTCCTCTGTTCCCTTGCACCATGACGTTCCTCCTCACCAGCCCTAGACACGGATAATTCCCCTGGCCGTTCCCCGACTTGCCCCACTGGGAATGCCCCAATGCATTCTAATCCCAACATCCTTGAGGTTTTTATCTATTTCCTTATTTCTTCCATGAGACAGTTGTTTAGAATGATGGTAATTCAGTTTTATCCTTCTATCCATCTACCTACCTACCTATCTAGATTGTGTGTGTGTGTGTTTGTGTGTGTTTGGCAATGTCGGGAATTGTATCCAGGGCTTTGCCCATGCTGGACAACCACTCTACCATCGAGCTATAACTCAGCCTGTGATACTGTGATAGATTTTATATTTAAAGATTTATTTTTTAAATAATTTTATGTACGAGTGTTTTGCTTGCATGTGTTTCTGTGCATGCAATGCCCACAGCAGCCAGAAGAGGGTATTGGATCCCTGGAACTGGAGTTACAGACAGTTGTTAGCCATCTAACAACTGTCTTGTAGGTGCTGGGAACCAAACTGAGGTCCTCTGCAAGAGTAGCCAGTGCTCTGCTCTTAACTGCTGGATCATTTTTCCAAGCCCTTTATCCTGCATAGACCAGAAGAGGGCATCAGATCCCCTAGAGGTGGAGGTGTACACAAATGTGAGCCATCCAATGTGGGTGCTGGAAACCAAACTCGGGTCCTCTGGAAGAGCAGCAAACACTTTTAGCAGCTGAGCCATTTCTCTGTCTTGTGATAGAATATTTTAATAGCGTAACACTCTATGGTGAAGTTTTCTTTCATGGCAGAGAATTCAATCTCGGGTATATTAGTTTCTGGGTACATTCTAGCAGTCCAGCTTCATGTACCCAGATCTGGACCTACAGTCTCAGCAGCCTGGGATTGCATCATTGCCGTGATAGAACGGTCAGCAGAGTGCTTGGCACTTCGTGTTTTATGAAGTCTTGCCAGCTGGATGTATTTGTATTTTATTCTACTTAAATATGCCTAGTTTGTTCTTATTATAGACTTGACCTTGCTCTGAGGGAATAGTCTGTGTATTCACTAAGAGAAACTGAACTCAGCAGGTTCAAATGTGACCAGAATAACTGAATCAAGAATCTCGTAGAAAGCTTTAAGTTCCCAGTAGGGATTTTAATCATTTGAACAAAGATTTGAAATAAGTCCAGCAGGTGTCTAAGAATGCAGAAGTAGTTTCTTTATAAGTTTTGATTTTAAAAACCCTTTTCTGTTTTCCTAAATGT